TTGTGGGGGACGCAGCCATGTCGGGGCGCCCCGACAGTGGTTCCTGCCACCTCTGAACGGCTTCGTGGACGACAACGATCATGGCGGTGATAGGGGTTGGCGCGAGGAGGCAGCCTTCGCTGGCGGATATCGTGCCCGACACGATTGGGGACTTGATCGTGAATTTGGTCCGTGGGAGGGCCTGTTTCGCGTTGACATCTCCGAATTCGATGAAGAGCAAGTTGACGGGTCATTGTACGATGGTCCGCCTGTATTTGATGAAGGACCCGAAGAGGTGGAGGATCGTCTTCCCGACAAAGTGGACGATCTCTACGACGATTCGCCGATTTTCGTTGAGGAGCCTCCAGGGCTAGAGGATTACCATCATGTTTCGAGTTTCAAAATTCAGCTGTTGGAAGAAATAGTTCTTCTATTGCGCAGGCCCAAGCTTTTCTCCCATGAGAATTTGTTGCGACCTGACAAACAGATGTTGTTTTTTGGTCCCCACGGTGACTTCAGTATTCTGTGTGTGACTGCAGCATATATACCTTTATATGAATTTCAAGGGGGCAATACTATGGAGGTGAGGTATTCGACCTTCGTGTTCGATCGGGGGAAACGGCAGGGGTTTACTATCATGGGTTCGACACCATACACTGGCCACGGATGCACATCGGCTTCGAGGGCGAAGCCTTCCGAACCGGAGGAGAATGGTGTAGATGATTATTATTATTATTATTATTATTATTATTATTATTATTATTATTATTATTATTATTATTATTATTATTATAGGTATCTTAGAGAATAAGTTAGAAATCTAATATTATTATAAGAGATCTTGTCTTGTTGGACAAGTTAGGAATAGGGTTATGAGCCTTATTTAAAGGACTCCTCATCTATTGTTTTATTCAGTTGATTTTGAATATGAAATAAGATATTGAAAGTTTTGCGTGTTTTACGAGAGAGTATCTCGTTTACTCGTATTTTCCCATTCGTTCACGCTTCCCCTACATCAGTTATCAAGAAAGAAAATTAATACCAAGGCTTTATAAGGCATTGGTCCCCAACTTAGGTTCCACCATTTTTAGTCAAGGTTATTGCCAGTAAGATCGTGTACGATTAGACTATCAAGGTTATTGCCAGTAAGATCGTGTACGATTAGACAATCTCATACAAGAATTGATATTTTTAGACATTTCTTTTTGTGTGTATTACGGAATTATTTTACAATTTATATTTTAGATCATATTATTTTGAATGTTAATTAGAAGTTTGACTCGGTACTATAAAATTTTCACCGTGGGGTGTGAGTTTTATCAAATGCGTCAAATTAAGACGAAAATTGAAAGTTCTAAACACAGGAAGGCCGGTTTTGAGGAACACGAGCACATCACATGCCAATTTGTCAAAATTATATTAATAAGTTGAACATAAGTCATAACGAGCGTAGCTAAACTAATAGTTCAAAAGATTACGTAACAACTATTTACGAGCCCGACAAGATCTAGGAATCTTATCGAGGGGGCCCAAATGATAATAACAAAAAAAAAACATTAACTGAAAATAAATAAATCAGTACAAGTACCGACTAAATAAACATAAGAAATATATCCGAGTCTTCAAAAAATAATTTACGGTAACATTGAGAGGTCACAACAGTTCTCTTCTATTTTTCGCATTTTGAAATCGTTGTATGATAGCTTCAATACTAGTTCTGAAATATATCTTTTTGGATGTATGACATTAAACAATCATTTAAAAGTTCATAGCACATTCGGTTACGTAGTATACTTTTGATGATTTTTATTGCCGAGAAAGTTTTTTCTACTGTAGCAGTGACAACCGGTAAAATCAACAACTTAATCAACAAGTAAACCAATAAAAATATCATTTTTTTTTCTAGACACCATCTTTTGAGCAAGGTCTCCAATAGTTGCTACATTCGAGAAGTTTTCATCCAAGCACATATAAAAAATGAAATTCGAGCAAAATCTCCAATAATGTTTTTTTATCGGTTTCTCAAATCTCAAAGGTTATTTTATTTATTTATTTAATTTTTTTTGGACATACTCTTCAAGCTTCCATCTGAATTGACCAAGTATTTTACTTTTTATATTATTGCGAATCTTCGGAAATACCCCTAATTATTTTGAAAATTTAGGGGACTCAGTGCCTCCCCTGGGCCAGCTACAGCTCCGCCCTTGCCGATAAGTCTAGCTCGAATTATTAACTAAACAAGCTCGATTTCGCTCGTTTAATAGCTGAACTCGAACCTTAACGAGTCGATACCACATATAGATCGGTTATACTAAACAAGAAAACCAATAGGCATGCCCTTGGAAATTTCTTTACGTGTTTGTTGAATATTGAAACACTGTTCCAATGACCAAAAAAAAAAAAAAAAAAAAAAAAAAAAAAAAAAAAAAAAAAGAAAAGGAGCTTTTGTTGTGGAGACAAAAGATTTACATACTTAGAAAGATTTCCGAAAGAAATGCAGTTCCAAACAGAGAATCGGAAAATAAGGATAGGAAAACCAATAATGAAAAACAATCTCTGCATGTTCTTCCATCGGTTTTGCTAAGTAAATCTACCATATTAATAAAATTATAATAGTGTTATTTATGTAATCAGAGAATATGGTAGGTTTGTAGTTTATTTTTGGTATGCGAATTTCAAGAAAAATGGCTTTAAGAGATAGAAGTAATTTTGGTAAAACGAACAAAGTCGAGGCACGTAAGATACGCTCTCTTTAAGACGAAATAGCCTCGTATATTATCCACGGTTCACGACTAACGCCTCCAAGATACAACGACTTTATGATTTGTGTATAGCGGTAACTCAAATACACAAACCCTCGGCGAACAATACTTATGTTTTGAACTCTCAAGATAGAAAAGAACACAAAGAACACAAGATGAATATGAACTTTGTAAAAAGGATGCAAAGGTTATGGAATAATTTGATGTATGAATGATTTCATGTAAGTATTTATATATGTAGGGAGACACCTCCAGGAGAATTAAGTGTCAAAAGACACCTTTTGGGACGTGCCCGAACAAGAACGGATGCATTTAGTGGCCAAAAGATACCTTATGGTCACCAAGGGTTGCGACCCTTCGATTTCCGCAGCCAGTTGCGCGCCCGTGCACCGCGGACTCGTACGAGCTCATACGGACTCGGAATCGAGTTCTGTTTTTTTCCTACTTGTCCCCAACGAACCCCTCTACAATTCTAGCATACATAATGCATATTTATTGCTCGTTTAGTTTGTCCAAACATTTATTAAAATATAATGTTTGTGAACCCTACAACCTTTTTGAGTTATTTAAACTCAATTAATTAAAATATAACACTTAGAATTAATTTCTCATTCACCTTAAAAAGGTTTTGAGAATTTTCTAAGTCTTCTACTTACGAAAAATAGAATCGTTAAATCGGTACAAAACCAATTTTTTCTTACAATGTTTACTTGTTGTATATAGAAGGTTGACTTTACTATGGAGCCAACTATTGGCTCCATAGCAAAACGTGTTCTTCAATATAGCTGCTTACAGAGGGACATGATCAGTCGAAGTTGTTATTGTGGTTATGTACATTTATCGAGTTATTTTCGAAAATAGGACCATGATAAATCAGCAAGGTATTCTCCGAGTCCCTGACGAAAGGCATGTCGTTCGATGCTATCTGGCACGATATTAGCAGCAATATCAGTAGCAATGATATTACTAATAACGACGAGCCCTTTTTTACTGAGCTTTATTAGGTTGTGTTATCTAGATTCTACTCCATTTATATATAAACTCAAGATATATTCTGGGGCCATTAGCCAGTCAGGATTTTGACATGCGCATGAGGGACTTTTGAGCCACTTCACAGTTCACACAGAGATAAAAAAGGTGAAATCTTGATGAATGTTCCTCACAAACTTATCTTAATGATGATTTTGTTGAATCGCCATCAATAGAAATGGAGTTGTCACTACCATTACCATAGAGATGGTAGCGGAGTTGTCACTACCATTACCATAGAGATGGTAGCAAACAAACAGGGACCGGGCAAAACTTTTTTTTCTGGACCTACAAAACTCGAACCAAAAGGCAAAAGCTTCTTGATAAAACTAGTGAATCACTTTAGACCATGGCCAATCAGTTTAAACCCTCACTTGCAACATAAGTCCACGCGAAAAGGATTGCCTAATAACATCAAAACCACAACTCATGTGAATCCAAAAGAAAATATGAACACAATATCAAGAAGGTCAATCGAATCACCAAGAGCCACTATATTGCTTTCTTCATAAAACAATGACCAAATGAAAGAATCAAACTCCAACACCTTATCCAAACTCCCTATATTAATCAAGAAAAGAATCTACGACGAAAAGTACTGCTTCAGTCATTTTATCACCACACAACTGAATAAAGCTATACTATGCGCATATACCATGCACATATACAGGCATATGTCATCAAAAAACTCGTTCACATACACAAAGAAGAATGTCAATGGTCATCACCACTTTGAATGCGATATGAACGAAGCAAAATATGTAAGTAGTCCACAAACCATAAGGCCCTTCATCTTAGGGAAAAAAAAAGAAAAAAAAAAAAAAAGAGAGAGAGACTGTCCCAGCATGTCAAGAAGGATCATTTTCAGGCAATCTAATAAGAAAGATTGACGGATTAAATCATCCCTAGGATTGAAAAATATTTCCGCAATTTAACGAGCTCTACAACATCTTCGAAATACGAAGGAGTACAAGTTAACCATACAATTTACAAATTGAGACCACGAAAAATCTAAGAGCTGCTACAAAACTTACAAATCCAGCATCTCTTTCCCGAGTTAATCCCGTGTTACAGATGTGCGCAGACTCCTCTTCTTTCCACAGAGCCGAACAACAACCAAACACAAATCACCAATTTCTGATTTTAGTTCACTCATTTTTGCCTCCACAATCAGCTAATGAATCCTCCAACTTAAAGCTTTCCAGGAAAATGGTAAATATAATACCAAAATCAGCCCAAGTGAGGGTGAAAGTCTTTTCTCATTCGCCAGATTTCTTCATGTCTAGGCTGCTTGCTTCTATCTTGAGAGGGCCAATTATTCCCAACACCAGCACATGGAGCCACTGGAGAGCCCAGCCGCAAAGTCAAATCGCACTCCATCCCTTGTATTGTGCTCGAGTTACTTTCGAGATTGGACCCAAATATAAAATTTGGTGCATCAAGACGAGACCTTGAATTCAAAGGTCTCGATGGACAAAGCTTTAGTTCATCAGGCTGAATTGGACTACTATTATTGTAGTACAATGGGTAGACAGACCACGTTGAAGGTGAATGTGCTTGGTGATGACTATCAATCGGACCAAAGGCGGGAACTTTCTTAACAGAACTAAAATTTCTGTTATAAATACGGTGATCATCACCCTTGAAGCAAGAACTCGAGGGTTTCATGGTGCCAATGGAGGAGAATTGTGGTTTGTGAGGGATCATGATGGGATTTATTGTTTTGGGATTTGGGTAAGGTTTAGTGCCCGGGCTGTTATTTGGGATGGGAACAGAGACGTTTTCTGAAGTTTCGGGCCTGAGGTAATATCTAGGTGTGTCGTTTTTCTGGCTTCTAGATGCTCTTCGAGGGGTGCATCCCAAATGCAGTGCAGCTATGACAACGTTGCAAAACAAGGTAACTTGACTTAATATGTTGCTTAATTTTATTACAGCATGTAAAATGCTCACAATTCTATACTAACACAAAATTTCCAAGTTCATGAATCAAATATACAAAACCCATTTCTTTCCTGCCTCTGTATCTATGGAAAAAGTCATGAATGTATATATGAAGTGAAATGCCATTCTCGGAATAAAGCATTTGCAACTCCCATAGCACACACAGGCTTTAGTCCCTACCGTCCTGCTCCTCTTGGATACATAATCAAACGAAACTGGAAAAATTTTAAAAACAGAAAATACACATACCTTCTATACAAGGCTGCAAAAATTCTTTTCCAGTTTCAGTATTCTCATCTCTCCGAATTATGGTGTTAATCGCGTCATTCACTCTCTCCCAAATTGTTTTAAAGTCCGAGTACTCAGCCTAATGTCAACATATTCAAAGCCCACTATAAGAAAACGTCAAACGATGAGCTGTGTATGCAATAAAATAGCAATCTTGGGAGAAAATAAGAGTCACAGAACCTCAGAGTTGGCTTTAGAGTACATAATTTCTTCAGCTCTCAAGACAACAATGGGAAGCTTCTCCTGCCACTCTCTGTTCTTTCTTGTAGCTGGGCAATGAACCTCATTCACAACCCTAAACCAAAGCAACCCAAGAAATACTTGAATTGACAAGAAAAGTAAAAATAAAAACAAACCCCCATAAACACGCGAACATACGAACACACACACACACACACGCACAGACACAAAAAGGTACCTGAAAATTTCTTGAATAACAGATCCCCTAATGGGTTGGTGCCTATCGCTGTGCCAAGCCCTTCTAACACACTCGTACGGTCTTTGGCCTGGTCTTGGCATCTTCAACCACACAGCATAAGAGGCGGGTGTGTTTTCTTGAAGAGGGAAAACTGATACAGAATTTGGGTTGTTTTGGAGCTTTGATTTACTGCTGTGGAGCTTGTTGGCTATTTATGGTGCCTGCATTTAGGAGTATTGCTGGGTTTTAGGTGAGGGGAAACCCTGGGCCGTACTGCTGTGCATCTAAGAGCGAAGGATGGCCAAATATTTCAAAAAGAAAATGAAGGAAAAGGTGATTTGAGCTTATAATTTGCAGTACTTGCAAGTCACAAGAGGAGAAATCAAAGTTTATTGCGAAAATTGATGGGATTATTTTTTTCTTCTTCTTCTTCTTCTTTTATTCCTGGTTTTTTTTGGGGAGCAAGAAGAGTGTGAATCAATTATTAGTATTCTGAATAGTAAATGGGCGTTACTATTTACCGCCCCCCTTATTACTAGTCACCGCCCCCCTTG